CTTCCTCTCCGGCTGCAGTTCGCTTTGACCCACCTGATATCTGACTAAAAATCAGTAAGTGTAAATGTAATTAACAAAAAAAAATTAAAAATTTACGCAACCTCAATGAAGAAGATTATAAAAATGAATGGAGGCTGACCATACTGGCAGCGATTCGGAAAAAACTGACCCTAACAGCCAAAGTGACGACGATAAACACATGCTAATGGTAATAACAATGGACAGAAAAATTAGAGCCATAGTGAAACCATGATGAAAGGAGCAATAACAACGGCGGAAATGTGTAGGAGCAATACTTGTAGGCATTAGTTACAAGATACCCTAATTATCATATAACTGATCATGATGAGGGTAATATTGAGAATGACAAAAATAGGAAAACCGACAATGGCATTGCGCGACTACACCGACAAGATGCTGAAAACAACAGACAAATGATCATGTTAAACACAATGAATCAAAAATGATCACGACAGTGGTGATACAGACGCTAACGTTAACCATAGTGCAAATGAAACTAACAGGTAGAATCGTTATCTTCTTTCGTATGAAGCAGAAACGCGCAACCGTGTTTATCATTCCAACTTTAGTTATGACAGCTACCTCACTATTTCCTGGGTGGCCAAGTGGATCACCTCTGTGCCATTAGGGTTTGAGAAAGCCCCATGTGTTTTGCTGTTAGCATCTCGGCATATTCACAGAATGGCGAGTCTCCTTTCTCGCCTATAGCGAAGACACTTGCACCTACCGAATCCACTATGAATCGGTACGATACAGCTCTTGTCGTCATATGAAGCAGAAACTACAAACTCCTTGGTTGGACTCTCAACGAGGTTACAGAATGAGGTGATGATAATGAGAAAAATGAGTGACAAGTAACGATATTAGCGAAATAGATTATAACGATGTTGGCGATAACTGAAATGATAACAGCAGGAATCAAAAATTAAAAAGGCTGTGATAATGAAACAGACGAGTGACAGGTTCAGGAAAGAATCATTAAAGAAGCAATGATAGTAAAGATAACGGAGAACAGCAGCAAAAGTCATGAAGACAGGTGATGATGATGAAAACAGTGGTACAGAAAATATTAATGATAACAGCGATAGCCGCTACATTGATTAGGACGTCAATGATGCTTAAGTTGTTAAAATTAGAGTGGCAACGGTCAAGGAACGGATCCAAATAATGCAGCTGAACGATATAGCGAATTGAAAACACGGATTAAATCCACTGATTGACATACTGATAATGACGCGAATCATTTAGACTGCTTATGAAAAAATGATGGAAATAATGATTAAGGAAATGAATGTGACGACGACTGAAAGTTAAGAATAGGAGGATCACAAATTAAAGCAAATCGAAAAGTATCAAACAAAATGACTAACGGCAAAACGACAAAGCACGTCGTTCTGTACTCTGACACACGCTATTATTTGCTGATACCTTATGATCGTTCTTGGCGATGACGCCGTTTCAGGAACAACTGACAGTTTCAATGAACAGCATTCCTATTGATACTTAAATCTTGATATTTTCTCAGTTCGTTCCAGGGTACAGAACTAAATGCTGCATAAGCTTACCACACTTTTGCCAAAATTGGGTAACTCTTGGCTCTGTCGCACATAGCCAAACGTGTTCACCAACGACATGCGTGCAGCCTGCAGATTCGGCACAAATTCGATGCCGTGCTGACTGATGCTGCTGACGTCGGGGTTGTAGTTGAAAATCGCTTGGAGACGGTTTTCGAGCAATTTCTTGAAAACCAGTATTTCCGCTTCGTTGGCAAACTTTAGCAGGCGACTCGTAAAGTCTATTGTATGTGATAACTTTTCCATTATCTGCTGTAGTTTCTTGTCCATAAGCGATATCGACATCTGAAAGCAACAAACTGAAACTTTGCAAACACCACTTAACATGATGAGAATGACTAGTTTACGGATTAATTAAAATCATATGCGCATATAACTCCATCACGCTGTGTTTCACTGTGCTTCGTCACTCTCTGTTCCTAGCAGGCTAAATAAATTATGAATAAATAAATTATGATAAATAAATTATGATGCCTACATGCAGTGAAGAGATACAACTCACATCATTCCGTCAAATACAAAAATATCTTGCCCGCCACTCTCGTTTCAGAACCGGTACG